GTGAGGGGCGTAACATTTCCGTCTCACGCTTGAGGTATTCGGCTGATCACAACGCATTGGATAGCTTGCCAATCAGAGCACACCTCGCTTTTTCAGACCGATGAGCTTTGTAAAAATCGACACGTTTCAAAAAGGCGGGGCATAGAGGAGAAACAATAATGTACAGTATGTGGAAAATAATGTGTTTTTTTAACTTTAAACCGCATGAACACATTTCATTACACCAAATACACAAAATAATGTTCTTTTTAGCAGCATCATATGACCCCTTTAAGGTAAGGTAACTTAAAATCAAACAATTAACAAGTTTTTACTGTACCATTTTTAAATTTTTTACAGTATAGTGTTCTCCTAGGTATACAAATTAAACTTATAGCAGAAATATGCTTTTAAAATTTACAGTATATATATTTTTTTCTGAGAATTTTTTTTAAACACATATCGATGAATCATCTTGCATTTCGGCATGTCCAAAAAAATAAAAAATAAAAAATACAACTTCTCTCTAATAAGAATGTGCCTCTCCCTATTTACCACCATTTACAATGGCACTAAAATCAACTTCTTTCCCCTTCGTCTGTAGTATCCAGGTGGATTCCCTGGACAGCAGCAGGACCCTCTGTATGGATACTTCACTGCAGTCGCTGGTCAGGTAAGAGAGTGTTTCATTTCTTCAAAAGTTACTGCATAGAAATTCTGCTGAGATTGCATAGATTAGCCTATACACATCAGTCTTTCTCATAGAAAGTTTAAATTCATTCTACATGCTACTTCTTGTTTCATTCTGCTACACAATCATGAAAGCATTTTTCTCTGATATGAATATTATAGTTATTGATGTTATAAATATAGGTATATGTTTTTGTTTAGGATGGCCAGATATCTGCAGAAGAACTTCAAACTTGTTTGAGTCAGGCCAACTTCTCTGGTGGCTACAGACGTAAGAAGGTTTATATATATATAGTTCAGTCATGAAACTCTAGATGGCGCAGGCGACGGGTTGTTAACGTAACCGATGATATTCAGAGAGTTAAACGACTTGGCACAAGCTGATTGGTTCATGCTGCATATGCAGCCAATGAGCTTACTTTCTTTACTAGAGATTCCTGCAGTGCGCTTTCAGAGTTTCTCTGAAACCCTCCACCTTCCCCAGCTCCACCTGTATAGATCTGCTACGGGGTTATTTTATATGCTATTTGTGCAGCAGCAGCATGTCTTAAATACTCACGGCACCGTATCGCCATATGCATTAGCAGTAGCAAGTTCATATCCATCACCATGTTAAATCTTCCGAGAGTTGTCATGATTGAACTTAATTTAATAGTGATGCAGAATGTGCAGAATTTCCCATAATTGTAAACTGAAAGTATTTGCAGATTTGTAACAATCATTCTTTGTCTTGCAGCTTTCAACATTGAGACATGTAGACTGATGATCAGCATGCTGGATGTATCCTTCTCACTTACACTGAAGACATTTCGGACACACTGAATCGTTTCAGACCTATACCGATTTTCAAAACTGAATGTATTAGACTTTACTACTATGCCAACCTGCCAACCCTGGTTCTAAATGACTTGTGTCCATTTCTTGAATTTTTTTTTTTCCATAACTTAGCTGTTCATCAGAGAGACATGTCTTGCTCGATGGGCTTCAATGAGTTTAAGGAGTTGTGGGCGGTGCTCAGTGGCTGGAAGCAGCACTTCATGAGCATTGACAGGGACATGAGTGGCACAGTCGACCCACAGGAAATGAGCCAGGCTGTTTCCTCTATGGGTAAAACTTCAGAATCAGTATCTGTTTAGTGTCTATCAGATTTCTTATGAGAGGTTAGTTTGGAGACCAATTCTCAGCATTAACTATTAACTAAGACTTTTGCAGAATTAAACTCCTAATTTGCTGTATTTTAATAGTTAGTAAGGTAGTTAATAAGTTTAGGTATGGGGCAGGGTTAAGGGAACTAAAATATGGTCATGCAGAATAAGGCATTAATATTTGCGCTATAAGTACTAATAAACAGCCAATATGCTAGTAATATGCATGCCAATAAGCAACTAGGTAATAGTGAGAATTGGTCCCTAAACTAAAGTGTTACCAATAATTTGAAAATATTCCTCAATTCATCTTGACTTCAATCCATATTCTTTCTTTGAGCTGAACAGAGAGCTATTGAAAAAGCAGTTACAATGCAGCCAAGAGTTCCTGAGAAATGAAACTCTCCTCTTCCAGTGCTTATTCTGTTCTGAATGACCATATAGAAAATCTATGGTAATGGTATATTAAAGACTTTAGTTAATGAGTAATAAGGTTATGATGTCTGAATAATTCAGGCCAATTGTTTATACAACTGCTAGATCCGAGGTCTTCCTTTAGGAGTGCTGTGGATAAATGAATAAAAAGACAATGGAATGATCGGTAGGGCCTTTTCTGACGAGAAAACAAAACGGGGAAAAAACAGCATGGATGCAATTTGATTTCCATCTGACTAATTATTGGCAAGAGGTTTAAATGGAATGTGAATAAAGTGCATGAATGTGTTTTTTGAAGATCACGGTGTGTCATGTTTGCAGGGTACAGGCTGAGTCCTCAGGCCATGAACTGCATAATTAAGCGTTACAGCTCTAATGGGAAGATCTCATTTGATGATTATGTCGCTTGCTGTGTCAAACTGAGGAGCTTGACTGGTAAGTATGAAAAAAATCTTAATGACAGAGTGTTGACTGTTTCAATTCATTTTCTGATTTTCTGTTGTTAATAATCTGAAATTATACATATGCTCACAGAATATATGCAACAGGCTTTAGTGTAATCTACAGTTTCAAGAGTTTCAAAGTTTAGGTGTTCCAGATTGACCTAATGATAATTTGACTTTCACCAGCATCATTTAAATTAAGTGATTGATTAATTAAATTGACTAAACTAATTAAGTGAAAAATATTAATGTTTTTACTCTAAAACTGTCTCATGATCAGATGTGTTCAGAAAGAGGGACCAGGCACAACAGGGAGTGGCAACATTTCAATATGATGATGTAAGTCCTCAAAACATTACATGTTACTTAGGGCAAGAGAATGTCTTTTTTTTCTCAACATGTGATAGCTCAAATAAAACAAAAGACAAAATAATAATTTTTCAGTAATCAGAATGATTGGACAAAGGCTAATAGTGGACCTCAGTTACAGTAGTAACTCACTGGATGGGGGACCACAGATAGAGTATTTGATGTGATATTGGTGAAGTTGTATACTAATAATATGCTGTTGGTAGGAATAAAACTTTGCAAGACTCAAATTTATACGTTACTCACCAGCTCCACATTGCTTATGCTGTGCTCTCAGGCCATTAAAACCACAAAAAATTCATGCATGTCTCAAAATCAGCTAATTGAAGGTGTACAAAATGGATTGTAGGTTTGCTGATGGAAGTTTGAGGGACAAAGCATTTCACGAAAAGGATGTGGTGAATGTATGCTGCGGAAAAAAATATTCACATAGTCCATAGACACACTGCTGTTGTACGCAGGGTGAAACAAAAGTGCACTCATTATTGAGAAACGTGCATAACCAATGAAAAAAAAAAAAAATAGTAATTTGTTGGATCAAATAGGTACGATTCACATGATTTAAAACATATAGTTCATCCAGATATTAAGTTCAATTTATGGTTTTCATATGCATTTATAATGCAAGCCTCTAATATGTGAATTTATACAGTATATAAATTTATAGTGTTGTATTTCAATTCATACATTACTCACTTTAAATGACCCTTTAAATGTTTATGTGGTCCTTAAGTAGTCATGTGCCGTGAGACCCAAATTGTGCTGCTTTGCAAAATTACTTGGCAGAGGAATTGTTTGTTTATTAATATATTTATTAAATTAATGCTATTATTTATTGAACACTGGTGTCTTTTATTCTATTGCAGTTGCCATTGTTTTATTCTATATATACTAAAAATCGAATTACTTTTAATTATCTGCCATTAGGTAATGTAGATGTGTAAAATGATTGCATTTGAAGGTCTTACTGGTATAGATTAATTTCTTTCTCGTATCTCTTTTCACAGTTCATCCAGTGCACTATGAGCATCTGAGGTTCATGCAAAGATCCACGAATAAAACAAATGTATACTTCAGTTTTCATTTTTATAACTTGCATTTTTAAACAATTTACTTATATGTGCTTTCATGTCATATTTTGACAATATTGTAGTACTTTTACAATATAAAACATACATGCATGCATACCATTATTCATATGTGACCCTGGACCACAAAACCAGTCATAATGGTAAATTTTTCGAAATTGAGATTTATACATCATCTGAAAGCTGAATAAATAAGCTTTCTTTGGCTATTGCTACAAATATACCCCCAGCAACTTAAGACTAGTTTTGTGCTCCAGGGTCACATATGACCAAGTAAGCAATGCATCTTCACCAATGACATTTTACTGTCTATTCACTCAAATGTAACATATATCCTATATCAAGTTTTTGTATCAAAGCAGCTATGCAGAAATTCATGATATTAATGTTTATAATATCCTAATGCCTTGCAGTCGCATTTAACAGATTAGATCAGCAATATATTACAGTATAGCACTATAACCAGCACCCCACCTCTAGAATCATGTCAGTGCATTTGTATACCCCCATTGCATGTTTTAAATTTGCACGGTCAGTAATGAATACTTTGTGAGGAGAACTAAACTTCAGATCCATGTGTGAATGCTGCTAACTGGAAATAAAATGTTATATTATGTATCGCCAAAGAATTCATGACACTTGTGTCTGCTCTGCTTTCTGACTCTGTGCATTGGCTGTTTCAAATGTTTGTGAGATCTATTTGAGTATATTTTCATTACACTCAATTATTTTTAAATAATACACCAATTAAGACATTCCCTGTTTGACTTAATAAATGACAACAGAACACTTATCTTCTAGTAGTTACATCTTGTGTGACAAGTTCTTTACACAGACTGAATATGTCTCAAAATCAACTGATTGTACTGTGAAGGTGTGCAATATGGTTTGTGGTTTGCTAGTGGGAGTTTGAGGGACAAAACATTTCAAAAAAGGATGTGCTCAGTCTATGCAGTAGAAAAAAATGATTGACCGCTGTTGTACACGTTGTCAAAAAAAAAAAAGAAATAGCACTCATTATTGAGAAATGTGTATAACCAGTTCTTCATTTGGAAATCAAAGAGGTGAGATTGAAAAGAAGTAAAGAATTGCATTATTTAAAATTTAGGCCCGTTTTCGCTAAACGGGGCTTAACTTAAACCAGGACTAGGCCTCAGTTAAATTAAGATATTTAAGCGACTTTTACAAAAATGCCTTAGAAGAAAACATTACAGGTGTACATCTTGACACAGAACAACATTGTGTGAATTGCCAAGGAAAACAAAAAATCTTCTTTACTGTTCTGCTGAAGAAAAAGTCACCTACATCTTAGATGGCCTGAGTAAATTAACAGCAAATTTTCGTTTTTGGGTGAACTATCCCTTTAAGATGATGTTGTTGTCTGAAGATAAGAGGAAGAAGAAGAACACAAAAAAGAGAAGAGACTCACAGACAGCACAACTACAATTGACTCACAGACACAGCCTTAGATGAAATCAACTGCAAGTGAAATCAATATCTCACCAGAGGATGCTTAAAGATACTCCACCCCAAAATGAAAATTTTGTCATTAATCACTTATAGTCCATCTGCCATCAGTGGTTCAACCGTAACGTTATGAAGCGAAGAGAATATTTTTTATACGCGAAGAAAACAAAAATAACGACTTTATTCAACAATTCATATCCTCTGTGTCTCTCCGCAGAGAGACTGACACAGAATAGTGTACTCTGCTTGCGTTCAGTGGTTATTCTCCAAAATGGCGCTACGGTGATGCGGAGAGACACAGAGGAGACGAATTGTTGAATAAAGTTGTTTTGTTTTCTTCGCGTACAAAAAGTATTCTCGTTGCTTCATAACGTTACGGTTGAACCACTGATGGCAGATGGACTATTCTGACTTTGTCTTTCATACTTTTCTGGACCTTGACAGTGTAATTTACGTGGCAGTCAATCGGACAGTCACAAGCCTCCCGGTTTTCATCCAAAATATCTTCCGGAGACGAGCGAAGCTTTTACGGGTTTGGAAGGACATGGGGGTAAGTGATTAATGACAAAATTTTCATTTTGGGGTGGAGTATCCCTTCAAACAAGACCAAAGGCATCATCACAATGTTTACTTTATATAAACTATTTTGGCTTTATTCCTTTTGTGTGGTACATGTATACATGTTGTTGAAGTCTATTTGAAATCATCATTATGGTTATTAGTGTTGGTGATTAGTGCACTTTAGGTTCACTTGTCTTTTGACTTTGGTTGAATTAATTTTCTTTCAGCAATTGATGAAAGTGCATATAATCATTTTGAGCATCTAGGTGGTTGTGGGCAAACATGAGACATGTCTAAACCACGACAGTGGTTTCCTTTCATGCACCCCATTCTTGTTCAGTTCAGTTCAGACATTCTAATAGTGGACATATGAACAAAAACTTTAGTTTGTAGAGTTTTCTGGTGGTGTTTTGCTGTTATGCTTGTGTTATGCTAGTATTTTCTTGTAAAACACTCCAATAATCTTTATTTCAGTCAGGACCACTCTGTTTGATTAAGATTATTGTAGAGGCCCTGAACATTATTTTGGCGGCAGGCTTTGCTCTGAAGGGTTCAGATTCTGTCCACAAACAAACATCACTGAGGTTTGAAACCCCCCAAGCCTAATGCAATTACCATTTTTTAATATGCATGGATAATGAAAATCCATGCAGAAGTGATGCAGGTCTATAAATGAGACTGGACAAGATTAAGCAATGATTAGTTGATAGATTATTTTCATGGACAAGACGCTAAGTGATCATGTGTCTGCATAAGGAGGAGTTGGGGATGGAGGAGGGTAAGCGCATGTCTAAGTGTGAGTACGGATGAACTTATATATCTTATTTAATTGTAGTGAGAGGAGTTTCAATCAGCTGAGCGTCAGCTGATGCTGGCTGTCACGCCGTGGTCTGCCTGAACTACGCTTGAGCTCCATTTGTCACTCGAACTAGATTTACAACTTTAAAAAATGTTTGACTTTTTTTCTTTTTTGCGCATTGTTGGTAGAGTAGCAACAGTCCAGAATGTTCTGCATTTGTAGACAGATTCTGAATGAATGAATATCCAGCTTTTTCCAGCTTTGTGTATCTCTGTATTGCCATTTTTTAAAAATTGTTATTTATTTTATTTTATTTTTTGGTGAAAAGAACATATTTGTCTGTAACCAGGCTTTGTGTGCCTTTATTTACAGGGCAGGTCACTTATGCTTACCAAACCACAGTCGCATTTGCTTGATTGACTCCACTTAGCCTTTGGAGAAGTCAGAACACAGAGATTCATTTTCTTTTTCCAGCCTTCCCTGTTAATGATCACTCAATGTCTTAAATAACATGTTGAAAAGTACAATTGTTTGTGTGTTATTAGTTTAGTCAAATTGTGTTCGGTATATCGTAGAGTAAATCAAAGTAAGTGAGAAAAATGATTGTTTATTCTACAGAGATATTCAAAAATGGACTGGGCTGATTTGGTGGTAACATTAAAGGGGTCATATGATGCTGCTAAAAAGAACATTATTTTGTGTATTTGGTGTAATGAAATGTGTTTATGCGGTTTAAAGTTAAAAAAACACATTCTTTTCCACATACTGTACATTATTGTTTCTCCTCTATGCCCCGCCTTTTTGAAAAGCGTCGATTTTTACAAAGCTCATCGGTCTGAAAAAGCGAGGTGTGCTCTGATTGGCCAGCTATACAGTGCATTGTGATTGGCCGAATTCCTCAAGCGTGTGACGGAAATGTTACGTCCCTTACCATACTGTTTATCCAGTGCGTTGTGATTGGCCGAATACCTCAAGCGTGAGACGGAAATGTTACGCCCCTCACCATACTGTGTTGATGCCGTGTCCGGCCGGAGCGACGAGACATAAACATTAAAACCCATTACAAACGAGGCATTTGTTGCATCCAGTGGGGACATAATTACTGATTATAATGACTTATACTGTCTTTTTACGCGTTGCGTTGCATTGCGCCGCGTAAACATAAAACCCTGTCTGCATTTGTGATCAGAGAAATGACAAACAACAAGTGCTATTCTACACTGCCCAAAACTCGCGTTTGAATCATCAGTGGCAAATCCTTTAAATGAAAACGTACTTACGTGAGTCAGAACTGCCGGCATTTTAGCCTCAAGCGTGAGACGGAAATGTTACGCCCCTCACCATACTGTGTTGATGCCGTGTCCGGCCGGAGCGACGAGACATAAACATTAAAACCCATTACAAACGAGGCATTTGTTGCATCCAGTGGGGACATAATTACTGATTATAATGACTTATACTGTCTTTTTACGCGTTGCGTTGCATCGTGCCGCGTAAACATAAAACCCTGTCTGTATTTGTGATCAGAGAAATGACAAACAACAAGTGCTAACGTTAATCCACACTGCCCAAAACTCGCGTTTGAATCATCAGTGGCAAATCCTTTAAATGAAAACGTACTTACGTGAGTCAGAACTGCCGGCATTTTAGTCTAACGTAACTCTCCCAGGATCAGTAAACAGTCCTCCATAAAATGTGCTGGCGATCCACAGCACTAAGTTGATGTATTTCCTCAGCGACCAGCACAGATCAGCTCTAGGCATGACGAAGCGGATATCGTCCTCTTTTGTAAGACCAAACACAGTAGTTTCGCTTTCACAACGAAAAACACGGCGGCCTAGCGTGAGCCGCGGCTTAGCGTGAGCTGAGGCCGGGCAAGAGTGAGCTGAGGCGGCGGGGTCGAGAACGGCGGTCCCGGCGAAGGAACGGTGAAAACGGTGAAAGCCGATCCGGCCTTCCACAGCACTAAGTTGATGTATTTCTTCAGCGACCAGCACGGATCAGCTCTAGGCATGACGAAGCGGATATCGTCCTCTTTTGGAAGACCAAACAAAGTAGTTTCGCTTTCACAACGAAACACACAGCGTCTTCAGGACATGGCGGCAGCGGCAACAACAATACTACAGCGAGAATAAAAGTTACGCCT